AGCAAGTGCATTTGCCAGTCCGAACGGCACAGTTTGTAATTCATACAACCCGGATGGAATAATGAACGCGGTTTTCCTGCGGTCGTCCGGGTGCATCTCAACTTGCCAGTATCCGGACGCCAGGTCCAATGTGCTGAAGAACTTAGCTCCCCCGAGGGACTCAAATGTCTCATCTATTCCTGGCAAAGGGAAGGAATCCTTCTGTGTAACGGCGCTCAAGCGGCGGTAGTCAACACAGAGACGAAAGCCGCTATCTTTCTTTTTGATGAGCACTATTGGGGAGGCCCGAGGGGAGTCGGATGGCTGGATGATTTTTCGAATTAATAGGTCGTCAATCATTTCCTGAAGTTGCTTCTGGTAATGGACGGGTATGCGGCGTGGTGCAAAACGGATTGGACGACTGTCTCTCGTATTGATGTGGTGCTGGACGGCCTTTGTGCATCCGATGTCGGTGTCATTCCACGCGAGCACGTCGGAGTAATCTGCCAGGACCTTGTCGAACCCTTTCCGCGTTGCAATATCAGTCTCAAACGACCAGGGCGCCATCCGTGAAGCTGCTGACGCTGCAACCGGGTCGAAGTATGATGTGCCTCCTTTGCAGAATGGTATTTTGGTGACTCGATGGTTGCTGATATTCGTCAGAACCTGTCACTAATGTTTACTCACGTCCGTTTCGAATATTCGTCCCAAATGGCAACAGAACCAGAGATTGCGTTTATTGAAAACGATGTATTCTGAGAGCTTCAGAAAGGTTGAAAGTAGATTTAGCTAGGCCTAGGCTGATATTTAAGCAACGGCAGCGGAAACCTGAAAGAAGATCTGATCAATGCAACGAAAGCGTGCGATACAGAGCTCACCGTGGGGAATTGTGTCGGTGCACGCTTTTCGAGTTCATTAAAAATAACGCTAATAGTTAAAGCAAAAATTAATCCTGGAAATGTCCAAGTTGCTTTATTCAATAGAGAAACATTCCTCAGAGGATAGCCATCGCCAACTAATGGCGATAAATGCTAAATCTCGACGGTACACTTGATTGTTTCCGGTGAATAAGGGTTCTCAAAGGAAGAAGGGAAAAACCTGACGGTAGTTTAGCTACCTGATTGATAAGCTAAGTCGCTACTTGATTTCTGAACCTTGATGTGCTATGCCTTGATAGTCCTCAATTATACAGAACTGGTTAGAAACTGAACCTATCCTGCTGCTAGTCACCAGCGTAGGGTGAAAGTAATTCTGGTACGTGATTTGAGGATCACGTCCAGCTTGAATGGATCTATCAAGAGACTTAGAGAAAAATAAGAGGTAAGAAGAGAAAACTGCAGTTATGAAACTGTCGGTTGAAGAACCGCTACATCGGGCTCCCCCTAGAAGGTTGGTGATAAGCAAACTTCGACCAGACAGCCGAGATACCGACTTTTGGAGACACCGCGTTATGGTCGTGTCTGTGGTTAAACCACAAACGAGATGTTATAACTATGACCACAAGGGCCCCTGCTTTTTGCCACAACATTGGTCTAGAATGAAACTATCCTTTGGTTACCTAATGATATGAAGGAGGTGGATCCTCCATAGATTTGTTGAACAGTTTGGTCCATTTTATGGTGCATGTGAAGGCTAATGCGTGAATGTATGAATGGATCAACTGTGAACGGGAGATGATTTCTCCGAGCGTTCCCTGGAATAATTATTTTCCAGTTTGTATAAATGTTCGACAAGAGCAATAAATGATGAAATATAATACGATTATGAATGCATGTAGCTGTGAATGATGTGCTAACGTGCAGCAGAGGGAGGTGTTTGATCTCGAGTCAGTTTCTTAGGGTGGAAAAATTCCACGACGTTGCAATAACAGAGTGTCGCACGGGTGAACGAAAACACTGAGATATAGAGCAAAGTCAACCACGCCCTAAGCCATCTAGGCTATTGGTTACAAACAAAGCCCTGCAGAATGCAAGGTGCAAGATGTACATAGCGGCAAAAGATTGCTAATCGACAAATACGAATTTTAAAAAATCTTGCAATCTTTGTGTTGTTCATGATGCGATTAAAAACGTTTCTCAGGTCTACAGTGTAAACAAAACAAAAAGAATCTGAGTACGCATACAGTAACGCAAAACAAATGAACCAATAAACAGGTACGCCTTTGATAGGTAGAGATTGTTATTTTGGGGGGGGGGTATATAAATAGGTATGTGCGTAAAAACGATACCAACACGTTTTTAGTTTTTTGTGAAAAAGATTGCATTAGTAATAAAAACATTCCACAAAACGAGTTGGAATACGGACTGAACGGCCGGTACGCG